AGACCTCGGCACCACGATAGCTCAGCCTGTTCGTTTTTATTGTGATAGTAAAGCGGCTATTCATATTGCTGCTAATCCCGTCTTTCACGAACGCACTAAACATCTGGAGCGTGACTGTCACAGTGTTCGTGATGCTGTCAAAGCTGGCCTCATTTCAACTATTCATGTCAAAACAAAGGATCAAATTGCAGACTTGTTAACTAAAGCATTGGGACGTCCTCAGTTTGAAGCTTTATCTTCCAAGTTGGGTGTTCAAGACCTTCACTCTCCAACTTGAGGGGGAGTATTAGGAAAGGGAATCCTAGATAAGGATTACATTGCTAAGCCGTCATTATCTTTATGTAATATTTCCTATTTATCTCTAGGTTTATATGTTAAGTCGGCTTATGCTTGTGTATATATACTTTTGTACATCGTTCATATGAATACAAGTTGAGAGTTTATAGTTTCCTCTCTAGTTTACAGATCGGCTTATTTGAAATAACAAGTGATATTTCATTTGTAATGAGATCGACTATTTCTGCTTCTCTGCTCCTGTGATTGGATCAAAGGAAAGATACCATGTAACAAAGTTTACAGGGGTACTGCATATAAGTGAATGAAAGTCTTACATGGATAATTGGATAAATAATGAACTAATCTATTATATTAAAAGAGAAGTTATGATTCACTTCATGTGTGATTTTTAAGTTTGGACCATCTTTAGAAATTTTATATAACATAACATCATTATAATATTTTTTCATATCTTTAATTTTTATTTGAAATACAAATAAATAATTTTAAGAAAAGTCAAACAAAATCTTTAAAAAATCTTATAGAATCTTTTCAAAATATAGTTTCAAAAATTATTTGATTAAAAATTTAATTATCATAGAATATAATTTATTTAATTCATTTTTTTAACAAAAAATTAAAATTATGTAATATAGTTTTAACAATATCCCAAAATTTTGTTTATGTATTATGTAGGTCCAATTTAATTTACTTTTTATATATTTAAAATTTAGAAATAAAACAAAATATATAAATTAGTAATGTTACATAATAATTTTTTAAAATTGTTACAAAAATAAAAATTTATAAATTTTAAATTAATAATATTATAAGCTACAAAAATATTATTATAAAATTGGATAGTATATACAATCAAAATATATTTATTTATTGATAAATTTTACTCCCTACATTACTTAATATATGATATTTTGGATCATAGCACAAAATTAAGAAATTTACATTCTTTTAAAAAAGTATTTTTAAAGATATAATTTTATAATCATTCAACAAATTATTAAAAAGAGTAAAATTTTATCGGTTGAATAGTTTCCAATAAAGCTAAAGATAACATTTAAACCTCAAAATATACCTTAAAATCTCAAAATATCTTATATTTTGAAATAAAATAAATCTTATAAAACATCATCTATTTAAAATGGAGTGAGTACTAAATAATTTCAAATATTTTCGTATTAAAATACCCGCATGGTTGTGCGGGTCGAGATCTAGTTTATAATTAAAAACAAAATCAATGCCAATTTTTTTGTAACTATAGAAGTTATGTGGTAGACTCAAATTTGACATGGTATCAGAATCATTTGATATTGAGATACCATGTGAATGTTAATGAATGAAATTCTCAGATCGGTTCGGTCATATATTATTGTTATGGAAAGAACATTTACCAAAAACGCGAATCCAGGCCGGATATACCGGTGAGTTTGGTAAGAGCCTTCCTCCATGATTGAACCTTCTCAGCCGAATACTCTTCGCCAAGTTTTCTGAAAGGTTCTGCATACTCTCCAGTTTGTTTTCTTATGTTTGAAGTTTCCACTCCATAGAAGATGAGTAGGACGGAGAGTTGACCTTCGTCGTGCAGACTTAGTATTGTTTGGAGCTCGTTCAGGCACAAAACAGAGGTTGGATAGCTTTCCGAGACCACCACAACGGTGAGTTTGGAATCTCTAATACATTTGCTTAGGTCAGAACCCAAATCCTCCAGCTTGTCATCTTTGTAGTAAGTTGTAATGCCTTTTCCTGACAAAGAACGGTGGAGATCTGTTACAAAAGATTTGGCAGTGTCTTCTTCTGCGCTGAAACTTAGGAAGACATCAAACTTGGAGATAAAAGATGAAGAAGAGGCAGCCATTTAGCAAAGTGGTTGAGATTACTAAGGAGAAGGGAGTTACTGAAATCTCATAGGAACAAGAGACGCAGTTTTGAAACAGAAGAAAAGTCAATTCCACCAAGAATAGAAAAAGAATATGATTGGCAACTGAAAACTAATTTTGCTGACAAGCAAAAAAAAGAATATGACATTGTTTTCTATGTTAAATTTCAAATTGCTGTTTATTTCCAAATACCTTTAAACTAGATGATAACCCGCGCGCATGCGCGGGGTGAAATTTTTATACTAATATTTATTCATTAAATGGTTTTTAACATTTTGCAATACTACAATATTTATCGATTATAAAATGATGAATACAAATGTTGGTATCTTAAATCATCATAGGTCTGGACGTTTGAGACTTCGTTGGTTTTAGTTTGATTGACACGTATTTTCAGATTTTGGTATTATTCTCATAAATCCTATTTGAATTTTACTAATTATCGGATTGGATTCGATTTGATCTTCTCAATTCAGTTTGGATTGGATTGTAACCACTATCTGAAATCATCCCAAAAAATATTTGTTAAACATTAAAAGTTGACAAAAAATCAAAATATTAAACTATTAATAAAACTAATTTAAAATTAGTTAAATTATTTAAACAAACTAAAAAATATTAAAAAGAAGCAAATAAAACAAACTAAAAAAATCTTTCGAATACTATAATTTGTATCTACTAACCTCAAACCTTTTCACTGAAATTTTTAAATTAACATATTTATAGTATGAATATCTACTAATGATACTTCATATTCGTACGATTTATGACAATTTGTATCTTCTTTGGGAAAAAAACAAAGTTAAACCATTGATCATAAAATTTTCAATGTGGGATTTTACTATTTTTAGTTATTTATGGTCGTTTTTAAAAAATTAAAAATATAACCTATAAGAAAAAAATTAATTTTTTATTATATATTTAAATGTGGTAATATATTTTAATAATTTAAAATTAAACAAAAAAGAGAGAGGACACAAAAATATGTATTATTCATAATCATTAATTACATATATATGTTAATCATATTAGGTAATTTCGTAGCTTTTATTTAAGGAAATAAAATATATTGTTTTATACCTAGCATAGTTGATCCCTGAAAAAAATGTCTATATATTATAGTCCTAAATGTAAGAAATTAAATGTTACATTATTTCATTCCTAGCTAAGTTGGTTCATTAAAAAATTAAAGTTGAGAAGCTCTGTGAGCTTGACACGTAAGCATGCTCTCCAAGGTTGTGCATTTATGAATGCTTCAGGATTAATATATAAGGGATAAAGGTGAATATGACGTTTTTGGCTTTATACATCTGTAATGAACTAAAAATTCAAAAGAGCAATGGTAAAGTAAACAAAAAGTTGTTCTATCAGTTTTATTAATTTATCCTAAAGTGATGTTAACATAATGGAATATGATAATTCGAATCTAAAGTTTACATTTTACAGTATATCAAAAATATTTAAAATCAGTTCCATCAAGAAAATAGCCTGTTCTAGTCGGCAACCACCAAGACAATAATATTTCCGTCGATGGTTGCTTCCCTGTCAACTCGTGTCAGGAACTATGATGTCTTTATCAGCTTTCGAGGGGAAGACACTCGGCGCACCATCGTCAGCTATTTGTACGAAGCTCTTTGTCGCGAGGGTATCTTTACTTTTAAAGACGATCGAAGGCTGGAGGCAGGTGACAACATCTCAGACCAACTCATCCAAGCCATAAAAACTTCGTGGTTCGCTGTTGTAGTCATCTCAAAGAACTATGCTACCTCGAAATGGTGCTTGGAGGAGCTTCGATTGATAATGGAGCTTTACGGTGCCAATCATATTCAAGTTGTTCCAATGTTCTACGGAGTCGAACCTACGGACGTGAGAAACCAGACAGGAAGCATCGCTGCTGCCTTTCAAAATTTCAAAGATACTGCCCCGGAGAGGGTTTCTCAATGGAGAAGAGCTCTCAACCAAGTCGGTCATCTCTCAGGCATTCATTCTACTACATGGTAATTAACCTTTCATTATTTTTCCTAAGTGTACTGGCTGTAACCCTTCTTGGGAAAAAGCGATGTGGAACTTTTTGAGACAGTTGTGTTTGGTTGAACGAGTCTAGTATGACAGTTATATCCAGTCTGAGGGTTAATTACAACATTTATAGTCGTTCGGGAATGGTTATATTAATTAGGGGTTAGCATATCTAGGATTGGATTTTGATACCATGTTAGATTTAGGTTTATAATGAACTGTCCACTTAAAATCAATTGGTGATAACTAGGATTGGTCGACGTAGAATACCAAACAAATTTATCAAGTGTAGGGAATTAAGGAACAAATAAATAGAAATTCCAAAGAATGGAAGAAAATGATGGTCGATGGACATATATATACCTGACTGATGTGTAAACTTTCAGCTTTCACTTCTTTGGGGAGAATTAAAGCAATGTTTGTTTTCCGTGTTAGGCGGGATGAGGCAGCGATGATAACCAAGACAGTTCAAAGAGTCTCAAGTGGACTGCTGACAATAAGGCCGACCAGTGCAGTCGATATAGTCGGGATGGAAGCACACATGGTGAAGATGCATTTCCTATTGAATATGGGGTCTAAAAATGAGGTTCTCATGATAGGAATATGGGGCATGGGAGGCGTAGGCAAAACCACCATTGCAAAGTGTCTCTATGAACGAATTTCAAGTCAATTTCCAGCTCATTATTTCATAGAAGACATTACGAAGAATTATAAGGACAAGAGTACTTCCCACTTACAGGAAAGCTTCCTCTGCCTTTAATTTTTCTGGTGACCTAGATTTAAATCACTTATAAAATCAACAAAAACATTTACCAAAAACGTGAATCCAGGCCGGAGAAACCGGTGAGTTTGGCAAGATCCATCCTCCATGATTGAACCTTCTCAGCTGAATACTCTTCACCAAGTTTTCTGAAAGGTTCTGCGTATTCTCCAGTCTGTTTTCTTATATTCGAAGTATTCACTCCATAGAAGATGAGCAGGACGGAGAGTTGACCTTCGTCGTGGAAATTTAGTATCGTCTGGAGCTCGTTCAGGCACAAAACAGAGGTTGGGTAGCTTTGCGAGACCACCACAACGGCTAGTTTTGAATCTCTAATACATTTCCTTAGGTCATGACCCGAAGATGAGCCTCCCTCCTCCTCTTTGTAGTAAGTTGGAATGCCTTTCTCTGACAATGAAACGTAAAGATCTGTGACAAAAGCTTTGGCAGTGTCTTCTTCTGCGCTGAAACTTAGGAAGACATCAAAATTGGAGATAAAAGATGAAGAAGAGGCAGACATTTAGCAAAGTGGTTTAGATTGTCTTTCTCTAAAGAGATCTCTCAAAGGAAGAAGAGAAGAAGTTTTGGAACAGAGGGAAAGTCTCCATTAGCACATAGCAAACGTTGCGTTCTAGATTAATTGTCCAATTGCTGTTTAATGCCAACTAGTTTCGATCATGGTGAATACGACGTTTGTGGCTTTGTATAAGTCTATGGAGCACGTAAAAGTCAACAAGAGGATGCTCTATTATCCCCTCTGCAAGTCGTTATAATATTAAAAACACTATTTTTTCCTTCTTTGGATAACATTTTCTCTCCGTCCATGGCTTCCTCCTCCTCGTCCTCAGTCTTGTCAACTCGTGTCAGGAACTATGATGTCTTCCTCAGCTTCCGAGGGGAAGACACTCGGCGCACAATCGTCAGCTATTTGTACGAAGCTCTTTGTCGCGAGGGTATCTTTACTTTTAGAGACGATCGGAGGCTGGAGGCAGGTGACAACATTTCAGACCAACTCACTGAAGCCATAAAGACTTCGTGGTTCGCTGTTGTAGTCATCTCAAAGAACTATGCTACCTCGAAATGGTGCTTGGAGGAGCTTCGATTGATAATGGAGCTTCACGGTGCTAATCATATTCAAGTGGTTCCAATGTTTTACGGAGTCGAACCTACGGACGTCAGAAACCAGACAGGAAGCTTCGCTGTTGTGTTTCAGAAGTACGAAGATCAAGAAATGGAACAGGGGAGGGTTTCCCAATGGAGAAGAGCTCTCAACCAAGTCGGTCATCTTTCAGGCTTTCATTCCATGACATGGTATTTAATTTTGCTTTATTTTTCTCTAAGTATAGTCTTCTTTTTTTGTGTGCACTTTCTCTAAGTATAGTCTTATAACAATATTTTTCTACATGCTTCATGGATTTTCTTAAAACTTGCGTCTGAAGCCAATACCTCTGTTTCTGTCTTTTTATCAGCACGCTATATTCCCTTGGATGCCATTGATTTAAGAATAGCCTACTATAAAACTGTAACCATGATCAAAGCAAGCAAAAGCTATCTACAAGCTTTCATTTCCTCACTAAAGTCCCAATCCAACAATTGAAAATTAATGAATAACACATAAAGAATAATTGTCAATCCACTAATTATAGTTTTAAATTGGAAATCTATGATAAACTCGATATTAACACGGTATAAATCACCCATAGATGTTGTTCCCCGATTACTTACGCTTGACCGTGAGGAGGTGTTAATGAATGCTTGAAGTATCACGTCAGCAATCGGAGAAGTAATGAACTGTATATAAATGTTTAGAGTCAATCTATAAACCCGAATGTAAGTCTTAATTAAATTCTCTGAATAGGCTTGGTACTAGAGTACAAAAACAATTTATCAAATGCAGGGAATTAAGGAACAAATAAATATAAATTCCAAAGAACGGGAAAAAAATGATGCTTGAGGGACATATATATATATATATCTGGCTGATCTGTAAATGTTTCGTTATTTGGGAGAATTAAAGCAATGTGTGTTTTCCATGTTAGGCTGGATGAGGCAGCAATGGTAGCAAAGACAGTTCAATGTGTCTCAAGTAGACTGCTGACGATTAGGCCGACCAGTGGAGTCGATATAGTTGGGATGGAAGCACACATGGTGAAGATGCATTTTCTTTTGAATATGGGGTCCAAAAATGAAGTCCTCATGATAGGAATATGGGGCATGGGAGGCGTAGGAAAAACCACCATTGCCAAGTGTCTCTATGAACGACTTTCAAGTCAATTTCCAGCTCATTATTTCATAGAAGACATTAAGAGGAATTATAAGGACAAGAGTACATCCTACTTGCAGGAACGATTCCTATTCAGCATCACTGGTCAACATATTGATTTGCAAAGGGTTGTAGCAGGATCTCAGGTAATAAAGGCAAGACTCCAGCACCAAAAAGTACTTGTGGTCCTTGATGGTGTGGATAAAGCAGAGCAGATGTATGCACTGGCAAAAGAGACGAGCTGGTTTGGTCGAGGGAGCCGAATCATCATAACCACACAGGACAGGGGTCTGCTCACTTCATGTGGAGTAAACCAAATACATGAGGTTAAGTGCTTGGACGATAAGGATTCCCTCCAAGTATTTAAACAATCAGTTTTCGGAGTAAGACGGCCTCCTTTTGAGGAATTTGAGCAACTCTTCATCAGAGCCTCTCGGCTTGCTCACGGCCTTCCATCTGCCCTTGTGGCTTACGCCTCACATCTTAGTGAAAACACTACCATACAAAGGTGGGAAGATGAATTACGTCTCCTTGAAACATCTCCTCACAAGAATGTGGTGGAGATCCTGAGAAATAGCTATGATGGTTTAGATAACAATGATAAGATTGCTTTCCTTCATGTTGCATGTCTCCTTATCGGATACCCTGTCAATCATGTCACTTCTCTTCTTGATGCTGGTTGTCCTCGGATACATCACTTAAGTAAAAAGTCCATGATCACCATATCAAAAAATGGATGCATAAACATGCACTTCTTGGTCGAACAAACAGGCAAAGAAATAGTGCGCCAAGAATGTGAGTATAGACCTTTCAGACAACGGTTTCTATGGGATGCTGACGATATCTATAACATTCTGGATAACAAAATAGTAAGTTAATTTCCAATCCCTTTGCTCTCTTGTAAGTCGGACTCAGCTAGATATTTGTTTCTTGACCTTTATGCATACTGACTTTAGCGTTTCTATTAACAGGGTACGCACGAAATTGAATGTGTGATGCTAAACATGTGTAAGATGCGTGACAAGTTAACTATGCGCAATACCGTATTTGATAACATGCGTGGTATCAAATTTCTCAAGTTCTTCCATCACGTAAGTGATGTAAAGTCCAACCTGAAGCTCAGGTCATCTGGATTTTATTTTCCCCCAAGTATTAGGCTACTGCATTGGGACGCATATCCGTTGAAAACCTTACCATCGAGGTTCATACACCACTACCTTGTTGAAGTCAATCTCCGATACAGCAACCTCAAGAGCCTTTGGGATGACAAGTTGGTATGCTATCTTTAGATATGTTTGGAATTCACTCTTGTCAGAAACATATTTCTATAAATCTGTACATGTATTAATTTTTCTTTTTTTTTTTGTTTCAGATCCTTCATAATCTACAGAGACTAGATGTGACAGGCTCGAAGAATCTGAGACAACTTCCAAATCTTTCTACAGCCAGGAACTTTGAGGAGTTGATGGTAGAAGGGTGCAAGAGTCTGCAGAAAATCCCAAAGTCCCTAACGTGGTTGCTTAGGCTCAAAAAACTCAACGCAAGCCACTGCGATCTCCTTAAGAATATCTTGTTCGATGTTGACTCCATCATGTGTGGGGACACCTGGGAGTTTTTTTTTATTACTGAGGGAGTGAGTTTGGGTGGTCTTAAAGATCTATCCATTGACGCTCAAATAAAGTTAAACTTAGCGGGCCTACGCGGATTTACGGAGCACATCTCCTTTTGGTCCAAACAACAGATCTCTGATGAATCAGTGAGGATGGAAGAAAGCACATCTAATCAGCTCAGGTCAGATTCCAGGGGCTTACATTCACTCAACATCAAGCAGTTGAGCAGAAAATTCAATTCTTCTTTCACCTGTCACAGCTTTTTAGGCTTTACCAGTTTAACTGAGCTAAAGCTGGTCAACTTAAACATTGAAACAATCCCAGAGGACATTAACTGCTTACTAATCCTAGAGAAACTGGACCTCAGCGGAAATGATTTTCTGTATCTACCCTACACCATGGAAGCACTGCCCAATTTGAAGTATCTCAGCCTTCATAACTGCCGCAAAATCACATCACTGCCACAGCTTGTTCAGGTGGAGACGCTCATACTTTCTGAATGTGTAAACCTCCGATCGTTGTTGGAAACAAGGGCAGCGTACTGCTTGCATGAGCTTTGGCTTGGCAACTGTAAGAATATTGAAACATTGTCAGAAACACTAAGTCGGTTAACCAAGTTAACATATTTAGACCTCAGCAGGCATAACTTTGTGATACTGCCTCAAAGTATCAGGGAGCTTTCATCCTTGGAAACTCTCTTCCTCAACAACTGCAAGAAACTCATATCAGTCGAGGAGCTTCCAAGAAATGTCAAGTATCTATATGCACACGGTTGTGATTCCCTGGAGAAGGTTTCCCTTTATCGAAATCACTCGATCAAACACCTTGATATCCTCCATTGTCCCCGCCTGAATCAAGAAGAACACAAGCATTTAATGGATTTGTTTATACATGATGGACATAGTCAAGAGGTAAGCTTACTGCCTTCTAGACCTGTTTTTCTTTTCTTTTCTTTTCAGATCCATCTGTTTCATATGTTATGAATGTACACTCCCTCTATTCGTAGGGTTCACGGCGATGTGCTTGCATACCTGAAACTGGAGTGTACAGTGACTCTGGTAATGAAACCAGTCAGATATCTAAGAAACTTAGCCGGGCTAGAATTTTTTTTCGGTCCCTGAAATCAGTGTTTAGTTGATCACTGCGGCACAACAAAAAAAAAAAAATCATTCAATCAGAACACCTTTGACGTTATCCATTGCTTCAGTCTGCAACAAGATGAACATCTTCTTTCTCACCTGAGTCTGGAATCATATCTTCATAAGAGTTTCCGATTCCACTAGCCGAAATAACAGTATGCGGAATTTGTATGATTAGCGATAGCCATAGAGGTTAAACTGTGGTGTGTGGAATTTATGTTTAAGTTTGGAACTATATCAGCTATTTATTTGTGATTTTTTGATGATTAGAATGCAAAACTTATAATTTTTTTGGAATGTTGCATATAGAATCGTAGGTTGTGTGCTGTTAATAAAATATATTTATCGAAATTTCAACCCAAAAAAAAAGAAAAAAAAATATTTATCGAGAATGTCATAAAAATAAAATTTCATGCCGATTCAAGTATTACAGAAAAACTACATGGTAGAATCAGTAAAATGATTTAGTAATTCATCGATAAATATAATTATATCCAATGTTTAAAAATTTGAAGTTATCATTTTATTATTTTCCCAAACTTTAAGTTTCAGTTTTAGGGAATTTAGGAATGAACATAGTTGGCCGATTTCAATTCAAAAAATTATCATTTTCAAAACAAAAAAAGATTAATATATTTGGGGGTAAATGATTCTAGAAAATGGGATAGGCTGAGAGACTCATTTATTCTGTGTTTTGGCCTTTTGGGTAAAGTGAAACAATTAAATGAATAATTAAAGACCAAAAAACCAGAAGAAAAGGTGTTCATGGCGATGGTGGTTTCCCAGTAAAAACTAAGAGAGAAAGAAATCGACAGAGAAAAATAACCAGAACAAGGATCATACCAGTCCAACACGACACACACTCTCTGATTCACTTAGTTTCATTCAACGAGACAACAACAGTTCACTTTGTTCTGTAAGGACAAGGACACATGCAAAACTAATCGTCGTTTCATCTAACTACTCAAAAGGTTGTCTCTCTTGTTCAACACGCTTTTTGGTGTTTAATCTCTGTCAAAGTTTTCTCCTTTACGTTGTATCTGTTTTGTGGCGTGTACGATTCTATATTTAACCGATTTGGTAACTCTGCCCAAAAAGTTTTCCTCTGCAAGTCAACGCCTTTTTGCCTAAAGTGATGACAGGGCACAAATCTTGGTCGGAAGATTTCTAATTTTAGCCAATCGTCACCATCTCTGCATCCTTTAGGTTACCCAATATAGTACTATCGAATCAGGGTTCGTTTTAGATAAGACCAAATTAGAAACTTTCAGTCTCTCTTTATTTCTATTTCTAGGTTTTCACTCTTTCTTCTTGAATTGAGCCCTTTAAATTGTTTGTGTAATATCCTCTTCCCCATATAATTTTTGAGTCATATGGTTGAATTGTGTAGGTCCTCTGCTTGTGAGCGTTATGCATCAGATGAATAAGAAAGATTCCACTTTGCCTTACTTGAACACTAGCATCTCATGGGGTGGTATGATTCCAACTGAACCTCTTAGCTTGAAGGTTGTGGATACAAGGCCTGAACACATGCAAAGCGCTACGCAAATCAGTTTTCAGGATCTGGATTCACCTTCATCTCAGTCCACTGGTCTATCTTACACTGAAGTTGCAAGCAGTGGTGATGATAATCCTTCCACACAAATCTCGTTCTCAACAACATCTGGTCAGTTCTAAAATAAGGTCCCACTGAGAACACATTTTTGAAAAGAGAAGGTTGATTGATCTTCTATGTTATAGACTCTTGCTTGATGTTTTGACTTGTTCTTGATTGCTTGTCAGGTATTAGACTGTTATATGTTCAATCATCATCTTGTTGACAAGATAATTCATTCTCTTACTCTCTTTAGATTATTTGTTTAGGATCTGAAGAAACTCAGCGGAAGGGATTTGCAACTCATTCTAACTCAGACTCAATGAAAGGAGTCTCAAGTATTCACTTTGCTCCTACACAGGTATTTTTGAATCTTTTATTTTTAGTTATATCAAACTTCTTATGGTGGACTGATATCTTATATCATGTCCAGGTTAATTTCTCTTTTCAATATGCTGATCCACATATTAGTGGTTTATTGGCTGCAACATATCTACCACATGCACTGGTCAGTAAAACATTTCTTTTTTATATTTTCTTGCTCTGGTGTGCTTGCATTAAAGTTAGTGAGACCATAAGTCTCTTTATCTCTGTTGCAGGCATGCCGTCCCCAAATGGTGGGTATGGTTCCTGGTCGAGTTCCACTACCAGTGGAGATCTCAGAAACTGAGCCAGTCTTTGTCAATGCGAAGCAATACCACGCAATCATGAGGAGAAGAGAGCAACGTGCCAAGCTTGAGGCTCAGAACAAACTAATCAAAGCCCGGAAAGTATAACATATACTTCACAAACAAATGCTTCTCACTTAAAATTTATTTGCTCATCTCTGTTTTTCTCATTGCAACAGCCGTATCTGCATGAGTCTCGACATGTTCATGCTCTCAAAAGGCCAAGAGGATCCGGTGGAAGATTCTTAAACACCAAACAACTTATTCAAGAATCCGAACATGCTACTGTTAAAGAACAAGAATGTGACAAGTCGGTCCAGCAGGAAAACAAAAAGGCAAACATGTCTAGATTCGAAGCTCAACATATGCTGCAGCACAACAAAGGCCGTGGCTCAACAACCTCTGGCTCTGACATTACATCTGTTTCTGACGGTGCTGATATCTTCGGACACACCGAGTTCCAGTTTTCAGGTTTTCCAACAACTCAGACTAACCGAGCTATACTTGTTCATGGTCAATCCAATGACATGCATGGAGGTGGAGACTTGCACCATTTCTCTGTCCATATATAAGACATTGATTCTTGGTGCTGTTTCATGTTTCCCACCAAAAGGGGAAGTCATCCTTGGCTACTACTGCTAGTTCTTTTGCTTCTTGTTAGTGTTACACATCACAAGAACAGCCAAAATCTTTACTTTGGAACCACTCTTTCAATCTCCGCTTACCATAATCTCTTTTGTTACACTAGTGGTTTGATTTTCTTATAAACTTACAATTCCTGTGTGTGTTTTTTTCATGATTTACTCTTCATTTATGCCTGTAAATGATGAAGTCTCCAGATTCTGTATGAATACGATAAATAAAACACACAGATTCTGCTTCCAACGTATCTTGAATTTGTGAATATTTTACAGTTTAGTTGTCAATTATCTTGCATAACTTCATTTAACTAAGAAATGAGGTTGAAAGATTCTACCGTTGAGTCTCACTCATCTGTCTGAGAAGATATCAACACACACTTAAGATACTTAAACATATTACCATTTCTTGGACACGTTAATGAATAAAAATACCACAGCCGTCTCTAAGTATTATATCCTATTAAAGAAGGAATAAACTATCTTGATAAGGTAAGAAGAAACGTAAGATTCTGCCCAATATACGTTGACTTATGTGAAACAGATACACTTGTGTCTCTAGAGTACTAACAATGAAAACAAATGACAGCATTTTGAAACATGTAAGTCACAATCAATCATGTAAATCACTTTCAGAAGTGATTCCTGAATTACTAATTATAAACATATTATTGCCAAATCAAATCTTGTTGTCTGTCTTCAGTGATGTAAGAGCATGCCAGTTGCCAAATGGAGTATTGAAGTCACTCAGAAACCATTCTTTTATATTTGCATCCATCACATACCGGTTTAATAGCGTTGTTGTGTTGAACAAATCCAAACCGAACCGGAAATTTAAGCAATTGAGGAAACGAACCTTTCTTTATTTAGAAACAACTGAATTTTAACACATTCCTTACATATGACTAAAAACACAAGAGAAACCAAAAACATTTGCCATCAAAGATTCTTATCACTATGATTTAGAGTAAAACCCGTCATGGTTCTTAGCTGAAAGCCGTTTCAAGAACTCGTAGGTAGTAATCATAGTGGTTGCAGACATTGACATTGAAGCACATCTTGGTCCCAATCCTCTATAACAAGCTGTCCACCCACCTTCCCTAACCAAGTTTCTCACCGTCTGTCCAATACTCGGTCCACGCTTCCCATTACCATCTTCCCCATCAAGAACCTGCAACCTCGTCTTGATTGTATCCAGTGGCATTGTAATCAAAGCAGAAACACTCCCAGCAATTGCAGCACTAACTCCTTGAACAGCCATTACCGTCTTAGAATCTGGCTTAACCGTGTTCCCATTCTCTTCCCCTTTCTTACAAACATAACACCCAATCCCACCCCAAACCATCCTCTGTGCAACAGAGTAAGAAGCCCACCAAACCGCATTAGACGGTGCATAAGTCAGAATCGATATCCCAAACCCTCTATACAACCCTTTAACCCCATCAGCTCTAACAATCTTCCTAAACGCATCAAACCCATTAACATAATTACAAACAAAACCACTGCTTCCTTGGACCATAAGCCTCTGACTCACCACATCAACAGGAGTCCAAACAAGCTGAGCAGCCATCGCAGCTGTTAACCCACCAACGGCATTAGCAGCAGCAGAGGCTTTAGCTTCTGTAAAACCTAAGCTAAGAGCAGCAGAGCCGACGTTACTCTTGGTAACCTCTAAAGCCGTCATGTATAAGGCACGAGCAGGGATGGTTCCCATCAAAGAAGTGCCGAATCCTCTGTATAATCCCTTTAAGCCTTCGTGTCTGACGAGAGTAAACGCGCCTTTGATACAAGAGCCTTGAGAATGGCACACTTGTTGACGAGTTTTCATCAAAACGGCAGGGTAGAGAGCTCCAGAGACCCCTGAGAACAAAGCTGCTCCTAAAAGGAAGAACTTTGATTTGTCAAGCATCTCCCAGTTGATATCAGCTGGGATGTGAATCTCTTTAGCTGATTCTTCCTCGGATGTGCCAAGATTCATCTTCGCCAAACCCAACGCAGAAAAAAAAAAACAAGAACAAGAACAAAAGCTTTTGTCTTTTAATGTGTGAGCTAGAATCTGTCTGTCTGTACTAAAAAACAAACTTGGCAATTTCTATTTACAGGACTAGAAAGACCAGAACTTTCCAAATGTTAGCAAAAAAAAAAAAAAAAAAAAAAAGAAAGACCAGAACTTTCTAAAAAGAGAAGAAAAATATTGATTAGATTCCCGAGAAAGGAAAGAAGATTTTTTACAAGTTAAGGATCAAACAAAGAGAAGACGGCCTTTTCTTTTTTTACGCTTGTGGAAACATGTCTTGGATGCGAAACGATCACTGAGAAGACCATGTGGATCTAACAACATCTCTGAACGATTCGGAAACAGAACCGATGGATCGAGTTTACCAAAGGAACGATCATAGTATAAGATTATCTCGCCGTGAAACACGTATTCTTTTTCCAATAAAGAACCAATACGAGACGGGTGTTAGAAGACAAAGAGAAGAGAGTAATCGGGAGAGAGCAGAGCACGAAAATGCGCGACCTTTTACAGTTTATACTGTTATCAACGGAGCGAGAGACTAGGGTTCCGCTTTTTTTTTTAATTCTGTTAACAAACTATATTAATACTCCGGTAGAGCTAAGCTATTTGTTATCATTAACCGGTGTCTAATTTCCGGTTCGGTGAACCGGTTTCTTTCTGTAACAAAATGTTATATGATCATCACTTTTCACAAATTGTATTTGCTCAATTGACATAACCAAAAACTCTGGAAAATTACTAGGTTACAATTCTATTTTTAATAACTTTTTCATGTCATATTCTACTTTTTTTTTTTTGATCAAACATTGCATTGAAATCAAAGACCAACGTCTACACTCCATATTCTACTTTAATAATATAACTTTTGTATCAGATTCTATTTTTATATGAAATTTCCTAATGCAACTTGAAATATTTTAACGCATTTATTTAAGGAAGAAAGGATGATCTACATCCAATGAAAATGCTAGCAGGTTACATGTGTCGATCACGACTTAGGATAAAGAAGAAAGGAGCACACATAGAAGAGGATCAACGGCAGAGATACAGATAAGGTACACAGTAGTCATCGAAGTAAACGGTCAAGATCTTCTCCTCGGAAGAGAGAGAAAGTGGATCCGGTTTTGTGATATGGATAGGATGACGTGGTGTCCATCCATATCCTTGGGACGTTGGGAGCAGTTTGGAAGGAAAAAAAACAGCAGAAGTCAATATGTGTAAGAGCTGAAGCACGTGATCTTTCAGACAAAATCACGTGACCTCTTATTGGCATGATACTGATAAGTTTTTTGGGCTTCCAACTTAAAACCAATTGGCAATTATTGGATTGGCCCAAGTATCTTATATATTACTCAAGTCCCTTACATATATATCTGATGTGGAATCTTTAATCCCAACACCTTCCTTCGAGATAATGGTACGTATAACCATTAATCTCGTACCATCCATTAAACTCCTACCGAGTCAATGTTTTTTTTTTCTAGCAATCTCGATAGAACTGAGCTTTCTTTGGACCCTCAGCTAATGGGTTGATCGGGCCACTTTCCAGACCGGATTAATGGGTCAGAGTGTGGGTCGGCTCTGATACCATGATAAGTTTCTTGGGAAAGACTTCCCTTTTGCTACTAGTTCAGCGACTGAGTTTGAGAATGATGAATATATTTTTTCTCCACCGAATCTGGTGAGTTCCGAAGACGACGATCTGGTTTTGAGTCCACCGACGGAAACTGTGCCTTCCGTTGAATATTCTCTGCAGTCGCCAACTCCAATGGAGGAAACGACACAACCAAGTGTAGAGGAGCTAGAACCTGAAGAAGATGATCCAGCGAAAGAACTGGATGAAGTTGAGATGTCACACGATGATGATTTTGATGCAGGTGATGACATCTTAAACTCTAACAATGGAGATAGACATGATCAGAATGTGGAAGTACAAAACATTCCAGTGGTAGAAGAACCTCTTGGTCGTGGTCACAAACAGAAAATTAAGTCGGTTAGACTTAAAGATTTCGTGACAAACACGGTACATGCGACATCATGTTATCCTATTGAAGATTTTGTCTCATGTGATCGGTTTTCTGAAAGTCATAGGTGTTTTCTTGCAGCAGTTGAAAAGCATGACATTCCTCAGCACTATTCACAAGCTGTGGAAGACCCAAACTTTCGTGGCGCCATGAAATATGAAGTCATTGCTCTAGAAGACAATGGCACATGGACTGTTGTGGACCTACCTCCAAAGCAGGAGCACTGGGATGCAGCCATACGTGTGGTACGATATTTAAAATGGAACCCAGGACATGGGATATTACTTAGGGTAGGACAACCTTTGACATTGACAGCTTGGTGTGATGCGGACTGGGGAGCATGTCCGTTCACAAGACGATCTTTGACGTCTTGGATTATTCAGCTAGGTGGATCACCAGTGTCTTGGAAAACTTTCAAACAAGACACAGTCTCACGCTCGTCAACGGAGGCAGAGTACAAGTCGATGTCAGATACAGTCCAAGAGCTGATTTGGTTGAAGAATTTATTGAGCTCGTTTGGTGTTTGTTTTGACAAACTGATTCCGGTTCATTGTGATAACATTTCCGTAATCTATCTGGCAGTTAATCCGATTTGCCATGAAAAGACGAAGCATGTGGGGATTACTTATCATTTCATACGTGATGAGATTGTCAAAGGTTTTGTCACAACAAAACATGTTTCGACGAAGATGCAGCTAGCTGATATTCTGACGAAGGCGCTTGGTAAGAAGAAGTTTGCAGAGTTTCTTATCAAGTTCGGAGTTCGAAACTTACACTCTCCAACTTGAGGAAGGGTATTACGATATATAAATATAGTAGTTATGATTGATACGATCGTATATTATGTATCTACGTTTTAGGAAAGAAACCTTCGTATATATATAAGGTCTTGGACCTAAGAATCAATACAGAAAACACTTTCTATATACTTTGTTTTCTGACAGATTCTTTTCCAAAGCTCCACCATCTCTCGAGCGGTCGAGCCTTTTATATCTCTCGAGCGGTCGAGCCTTTTATGGACATAAATCTATTAAATAGCTTATTTTTGCAGATATATCATTTCATAGAGATGCTAAATGTCATGAACTGTGATGGTCTTAAAACAAGAAACCACCAAACACACCAACATAAATCATTTTTCTATATGAGTGACATTACTTGAAAACATAAACTCAACCTTGTGTGTGTTACATTTATACATAGTTAATTATTTCTTTTCAACAGATTTAGATGCTTAAAGCGAGTGGAACATTAGAATGTGTGTGTCACATTTATACATAGTTAATAGATTGACTGATGCGCATGTGATGATTCCAAAGAGAACATTAGAATTGTAATGGGCTGGGGCGACTATGGTTCGATCCATTATCCTAACAGTGATGGTTTTTATATGGACTAAATCTATCGTTATTTACGCCCACCACAAATGTTACTATTTGTAAGTTTCACTCTTGTTGGTTCAAAACATTCTCCATGTGTGAGATCAATATTTACAGGTACACACAAAGACAGCCTTATAGAAAAATGAAGTAAAAAGAAGGTAAAATCATCTAAAATTCACAAAGATCTGGCATTTTTACGCTTCTCCACTAATATTACCAGAGGTTGCTTTTTAAGGCATGTGTTGGTATCTCTTTGTGGTATATTCTAAAACTGACGTCATAACCAGCGTCTGTGTTTTCTACCAGCTGCATCACAATGGGTGTTATGTTTAAACTGATTAAAACAATGTTATGTTTCTTTTACTATTGTTTTGTTAAGTATTAGCTTCTTTGGACTACCGAAATTAAAACAAGGATGATTGCCAACTTTTTAACATTTAGTTGAGCTTACTTAAACATTTTAACAAAAACACAACTAAAACATAAGAAAACAGAAGTATCAAAAGAAACTTAACTAATAAAAAGGGTTGCATTCTCTTGTTCCATTTTGGTATCATTTTATCCAAAAGAAAAAAGGGGGTTGCATTGTATCACAAGTCAAGAACACCAAATAGCTGGAGAAGAGCCTTGTACTCGTAATATTTGAAGGCAATCTTCTAACCTGATTGTATCACCAACTCCACAGGTACTCTTCTTACATGATTGTAGCACAAGTTCAAAGCACCAAATAGCTAGAAAACACCTCTGATCGTCGCAAGGCTACGAACAACAGCGGGATCAGCTTCATCTTTGGTGGCAGATTTCTTGCTAGACTCGTACATGAAGAAAATGATAATAGCTTTTGTATGGTTTTGAGCAGCCAAAGCCCTAGACTAATGCTTAAGGTATATTTACAAGTTTAAAGAAACAAATAACAGATTCTTTTTTCACAAAGTACATCAAGATTTAGCCAATATGATGGGCTAAAATTGTATAAACCACAAAGCTACGTATACGAAAATAAAAATAAATAAATGTAAGGAAAAAAAAAAACAGCACAAAGTACTCTCACCAAAAAGGAATCCGACGTTCAAGAAAGAAAACACAAATACAAAAAAAAGAAATCAACATCTATACGCTTGGGCCTAAAGCCTACAACCCGTTTAAGATTCGGATCCACCTAGACCGGGTTCGGGTCCTAAATTGGATCTCCCTCTTTTCACAGAGTTGGCCTTCTCCAACTTGAGCCCAGCTCTGAATCTCGCGATGAAATCATCGGCCTTGGTATCCACATCAGGACTCGGACAGAACATACTCCCAACAGACTTACCTGCTTGAGCTGCATCCTGATCATCATCAGGTTCGTCTGAGCTTATACTAATGTTGCTAGCCATCCTAACGTAATCCCCACGCTTCACGAACTTCCACGCCGGCATTTTAAACGGCGGCGGAGGAGGCGGCGGAGGGATCGGCATCAACGGCGATTCGCTTCCGGTGAACCGTGTTACTTCAGCCGGCGGATTCGATTCCATCGGAGCTTTACGATTCTTGGAAGTTGACGCGCGTGATTGGAAGTTCCGGTGAGGTGGTGGCGGCGGAGGCGGCGGTGGATTTGAGTATGTTCGCTTGCTTTTACCTTTTTTGGATGAGAAGAGGCCTTGGAAGAAAGGTGGTGGAGGCGGCGGAGGTGGAGGTTGCGGCGGTGAATTTGACGGCGGAGGAGGATCGGAGCCGCCGAAGAGTAAGTCGAGACCATCGATGCTTTGTTGCCTCTGCTTCTTCTTCTTTTTCCGTAGAGCGATCAGAAAGTCTTTGGTTGCTCCGCCTTTCTTCTTCTCCTGTTTACTGCTCTTCCGATACACAGTCGTCGTCGGAGGAGGCGGAGTCGGTGTAATCGGAGGCGTCGCCGCCGCCATAAAATCAGCTCTCTCCTTCTCTTCCCTTGGAGCAACGTCTTGGCAAACTCTCTTTGTCCTTCTCTTCGCCGGCTTAGACGGCGGAGGAGACGGCGGAGCAGAAGGTGGAGGCGCCGGATTAGAAGGTACTGATATCTCTTCCACTACTTCAGCCGCCGCCGTCTCAACTTTCTCAGTAACAGAATCGCCGTTATGAAGCTTCTCTCCTCCGTCGTCGACGTTTGCTTGATCTTGATAGATCGGATCTGAAGGTTCATAACGGCATTCACTGACACGTGTATCATCGTAAAATCTCCACCGTTCATCGGTTTCAAATTCTCGGTTACTCAGATCTGGATACGAGCTAACACTACGTAGCCTACTAAACCTCTTGTAAACAGTCTGATCCGGAAACTGATCTCCACCGTCAATCCAATAACGTGGCGTGGCACGACCTCGATCGATGATAGACGGAGAGCTCGGGAACTTGTCGAAACTATATCCGTTGATGACGTCATTGTTTTTAGTGACATGTTCCTTGTTGTGATTGGTGTCGTCGTTACCGGTGTTGCGGCTTAGGAAGCCGCAGATGACTGCGAAGAGGACGAGAACGAAGTTGAGATAGTCCCAGCTTTTACGGACAAGATGTGGTCGGAGAAACTGAGAAACTGAGGAGAAGAAAGGAGGGATGATGAAGAAGACTATGAGGATCGCAGCTACTCCGGCGAAGAATGATTGGATTGCGACGGTGGTTGCGCGGTTGCCGAGACTAGAGGTACGGCGGAAGTAAGTGTTGTTGTTGCGGCGGGATTGAAGCCAGAACGGCGTAGACGCGTCTCCATCTTCTTCCATACGCTTCTTGGTTTTTTTTTGAAAGGAATAGTATTTTTTGAGTTTAGGATTTAGAAAGACAACTTTTTGTTGAGAGTGGTTGGCTTTCGATGATGCCTTTTTATGCTTTGTTTCCTCTGTTGAGGTTTTTTTATATGCTTTGAGGAGTTGAGTTTGGTCATATTATATATGTAATTTATTTTGGTTTTTCTTTCTGGATTACTACTTTACTTTACAGTTCACACCTTACTTATTAGAAAATGTAATGTTCAAACTAGCACTTATATCATTTTATTGATAATGTATAATGTTCAAACTAGTTCTTAACTGCACACCTTTTACCAAGTTATCTACTTATCCATGAAAAAATTCAGCTGAAATTATGAATCATATTCCTTTTTATTTTTTGATAATAATGTATATTGTTCGTTTGACAAAAAAAAAAGTATATTGTTCTTTTCAGTGTTTAACATGTGAATCCACGAGAGTTTGGTGATATATTAGATAAGTAAGCTGGAAAACGGTGATATTTGCTTGTGAAAGTTGGAAATGGAATTACAAAGACATATGCTACAGCTGGATTACATGAAGCAAATACATATTGGTACGCCACAATTGTTCAACGGACTCTTATGTCTAGCATGTTATTAATATTATACAACACGTTTTCTATTTGAAAACGTAAGGCATAGTTAGCCTGTTGGTTTCTAATTTTGAATAACAAACTATAGTGCTCATATTAAAAATTTATATTATTAAAGACTTGATTAATAATTAGTACGCGAGTCAAAGAGGGAGAGAACCGGTGCTGTCAATGGCTTTGGCAGTAGGCCATATCGTCAAATGCAATATTAATATTATCAGGTCTGTTTATATGAATAATCACAATTCACTGTCGGGTTCACTTTAAAATGTTTGTAAATACGTGTATGATACAGTAAATGTGAAATGAATTACTTATGGAAAACATCGAAAAAAAGAAAGAAACAGGAAATGAAAACAAAATTAAGTGAACAATAGGAATCGAGCCTGCGCGGGCATAGCCCACATGATTTCTAGTCATGCCCAATAACCACTCCGGCACGTCCACCTGTTGTACAAATCACTGGTTTATTTTGAATGTTTCCTAAACTCAAAAGTAAAACCCCAGCTTCTCCATGAGTGCTCTCCATATATACTTATATAGCATCAGTCTCATACAATATTCAAGTTACACAATCAAAATACATTAAAAAAAAAGAGAGCTATATTTAGTTTCTTTTCCTCTCCTATTATATTATTTTCTCTTATATCTGAAATATGTATAGAGTTTCATTAATTCCTAAAGATGTTAATGAAAGAAAATTTGTTTTTATGGCTGATGTAAATGTTTTCACAAAGCCTTGACTCGTACACGTATACATAATACATTCATTTTAATTAGACATTTTGATAAATGAAGTGAATTAAAAACAATATATTATTGGTAAAATCATGATTGCATATGCATGCATTCATTAGTTCTAGTTTCTAAATGACAACTACATGATATGTGACAACGAACGACGTGTAGATATACATATATGGATGACATCTTTCTAAATAAAGTAGAGTTTTTTTCTATAGAAGTAAAAAATAACATTTATCATCTTCTCATTTGTTAAATATTTTTTAAGCTAAATTGTAATTTTTTTTGGATTTTTGTTGGCTTTATAAATGATATAAACTTTAATAAATATTATTAGTCCAATAAAATTAATTAAAAAATAATTTTCTTACCTTCAACATTTTCTTCATAATGGATGAAAACTTTGATATCTAAGGTTCATCTTCATCGTGTTCTTTGATATTTAACGGTATTTTATTTAGGTCAAAGTTTTTTTAACTCTTAACCACATTTTATTAAACTCATTTATTAAAATAAGAACTTTACAATTCGTCCAGTGTGAAAATTCGGTTTCTCCCCCTGCACACTCCTAACGGTAGCACAATAACCCATGAATGACGATTTATTCTTCACATTCTCTTTCATTTCTATATGATTGGGCGCTCCCGACTTACACGACCTCCATTTTCATCAATCACACACCATAAATATCGGTGCAGCAAGAGGTTCTAAAGCTCTACATCCAATCTAGGAACTTTTCTTATCCGCTTCTTCAGCGACATGTTCCTTGGAGTATGTGAATGTAAAGCGTTGTCCTTGTTCGGGTTCATCTTGCAACCAGTGGACTGATCTATATCCACCAGCTCAAGTAACAGAGAGGCATATATGGGCAAAAGAGTCAGAGAGGCTAAGTAAACATCAGCTCATTAAATTTTTAAAGCATTTCAACACCTTGTTGGTTCCATTAAACACACACGGATACATCAGCAATTTCCGAATTAGTTTGAAGATTGCAATGTTTTTGTTTGGCCACTTTGGTTATTTAATACTCCCTCCGTTTCAAATTATGTGTCATTCTAGAGTAAAATTTTCGTTTCAAAATAAGTGTCGTTTTATAATTTCAATGCAAAATTTATTGATTTTAATGTTATTCTATTTTTTCATTGGTTGAAAAGTGGTTAGGTGTATAGGTAATTGTGTTTTTATTTTGAAAATATGTAAAATTAATTGTTTTCTTAATCTGTGTGCAAAACTCTAGAATGACAATTAAATTGAAACGGAGGGAGTAATTAACTTCTGATGTTTTTAAGATATGTTCCTCCCATCTCTTGCCAATATGAAACCAAGAGCAAAGCTCCATCTTTAGACATGAAAATCCATTTAAATTACCAAATAATATAGTTTTTTTACTTTTCAGACCAAAGTTTCCTAATAAAAGTTATACATGTCAATCTACAAACTACTATTACTATCTAAATCTAAAACTGAATTCATTTCAATTATCTGAGTACTAGGTGTTTTTATGTACCCAATGCAAAAAAAGTTTAGAATTAAAATTATATTTAAACTATCAAATTTGTTAATTTACATTAATTTAATTATGTGTAAAAAATCAGATAAATGAATAATTTTTATTTAAATTTATATTTAACAATATATATGTATATTCAAATTATAATTTTGGAAATATTTTTTATCTACTCATTTAGTTAAAATATACTAATCCAAAATTCTATATAATAAAAAGAAAACTTTGTCAGGTATATTATTATGAGACTAATAATATTGATAAAATTATATAATATTTAAAAGAAATTACTGATATTGGGGTTAGAAAAATTACAATTTCTTAAAAACTGTATAAAATTTGAAGAATAATTTTAGCAATAAAATGAAATAATTAAATAATATTTCAAATATATTAGAATACTATTATAGTAACGGTAATCTATAAATTTTTACAAAAAAAAAAGAAATTACCAAAAATACAAATCAACATTGAATCCACATTGAATGTATATGTCTATGTTACAAGTAGCTTGAAACCATGACATAATCGTTAGGATGTCTTGTCATCGTTTTTATTTCAAAATCAATATGGTCACGACATATGGAAAATCATATTTTTCAAAAAAAATATTAGGGGATTACACAGTTTTCACTATTCACTATTTTAATGAATAAACTAAAGCAGTTAACTATATTCTTACTAAAATTTTTAATATAATCAATAAATTATGATACTTGGGAAATCAACTAATAAAACGTATATTTAATAGCAATAATTGAATAAGTATTTTATTGACATTCCTTTAAATAAATTCATAATTCTAAAAATAGAATTAGTTTTAGAGAACATCAAAATTGTTTACACATATAGGACACGTACCCTTTTATTTATTTATAGAAAATGAACGAGTCTAAAGCTTTGACATATTATATGAGTATAACTTGGATTTTTTCGAAAATCAGATTCGTTTAAATCTGAAAAATATTAATGTGAGTTTCTTAAATTAGTTTTTTCTGTTAGGTATATATGTAAGAATACTTCTTATGTTGTAAAAACAAAATACTATCTATTTCCTAAAATTTTAACTAACTATCAATCCATTTCTATAATCCAAGATGAAAAAATCCCTTCAACTCTTGTTTACGTTCTTAATTATCTTTATCATTGTCTCACAAGGTTTGTATTTACATCTTAATATATTACATATAATCATTCTTTGATATATTAATTATATTGCTTAGATCCTTAAAATTTTACTTTTTATATATTGTAAACCCATATATAATTTTTATTTACTCTATAAAATATTGCATTAAATTATCTCTTTTTAAAATTCATAAATTTTCAAAAAGATAGAAAATATAGAAATGGATCAAACATTTTTTGTGTTGAAATTTTAAGGATCATCCTGAAGTATTTTAAGAGATTTTTTCTTTCAATTTTAGTCCATTTTAATTAATATATGAGTTTATATATGAAGACGAACTACTATGATAGAACAATTTAAAATATTTTCATTGTTTTATCATCAATTCATGTACATTTTTTTACTGCACATACAAATATGTTAACTAACATTTTTCATAATATGGATGAGCTGTAGTTCTTATATAAATTGATGTGGTATTTTGAATTAGATTTATATATTTTATAGGTAATCTGTTATGCTTTTCTGATATATACAGTTATTGCTCTTAAAATGTCAAAAAAAATTTTGTAATTTTTATTAATATGAACACAATTCTTTTAAAAAAAAATTCAGAAAACAAAAATAAAATTTTGACCAAATCCTATGCTCATTTTAAACTTACTGGCAAAATCATTTCTCTTTTTAATTATAGTGTTTAGTACAAAAGTTTATTAAGCAGTTTTTGTTGATAAATAAGTTTATATTTTGGAAAATGTTCCATATATCTTCTACTAATTAAAATTTGAGATTATATATTTAACAGGAAAGGTGGCAGATGCGCAAGAAAAGAAATGTCCTCATAGAATTCCAGTTAGCGGTCCTCCTTGTAATCCAGCTCAATGTAAGGATATGTGTCAGAAGCAATATGGAACTCTAGGTAGTTGTCCAGAAAAGGGATTTTGTAGCTGCGCTTGTAAGTAGGGGGTTCTCACTAAGTGTTGTGAACATAATAATGTCCAAGCAAATATTAATATTATCTCTTCAACAATAAATATCTAAATGTTAAAAATTTTGTATCAGAACTGTGGATCTATTTATAATAAATAATAATAAGGTTAAATAAATATAAATGTGTATAACTATATTAACTTTTAATAAGA